TAAAATCTAGAAACACGCTGGCTGCACAATTAAAACCCATAGAATTAAATGTTGTTAAAATATTTTTTAAATAAAAAGGTCTTCGCCTGGCGCCGAAAAACAAATGATGACGGTGCCAGGCGGACCTCTCTGGGGAGCGCATTCCATAGATTGGGCGCCACCTCAGAGATCTGAGCATCAGAAAGGGAGAAGCTGGCCATCCTCAGAAAGGACGTGGCTACAGCCCAGAGGGGGAACCTCTGCGCAGCAACACTTAGTTGCAGGCCTCACCTGTAGGTGTTTATCAAGCAGTTTGGTGCCTTTGGGTGGAAAGTCGGTGCACAAACCCACAGGATTTCTTTTTGCCTGTGAAGAAGTACTTCTGGGGGGCAGTTCTATGCATGTTCAGGCAAACAGAAGTTGCAAGCCTCTCTTCTGTCTGTGTACAGGATTGGACCCTTGCTGTGTTCTCTTGTGCATCAGTGGGAATTGGTAACCTCTCTGCAGAGTAACTTGCCTGCCCACAAGTATTATTATTATATTATTATTATTATTATTATTATTATTATTATTATTATTATTAAACCAGCAATGCCATCTGTGACCCTGCCTCATCAGGCTGGTATTCCCACAGGCAGTGTGGTGTAGTGGTTAAGAGCATGGGACTGGGACTCAGACGATCTGGGTTTGAGTCCCCGCTCAGCCATGGAGCCAACTGGGTGACTTTGGGCCAGTCACAGACTCTCAGCCCAACCTACCTCACAGGGTTGTTGTTGTGGGGATAAGATGGAGGAGGAGAGATGATGTAAGCTGCCTTGAGCCCTTTGTAGGAAAAAGGCAGGATATAAATCCATAAATAAAATAAATAAATAAAAAATTGGTCATGGACTGTTAATATCCCAGCTTGACTACTGTAATGCAATTGCTGTGGGGCTGCCTTTGAAGATTGTTTGGAAGCTGCAGCCAGCTCAGGAGGAAGGCATCATGGTATCAGCAAGGGCTGGGCAGTCTGCCCACGTGGCATCCATACCACGGCTGTTGACTTGGTTGGTGGTGGTTTCCGGGCTCAGCTGAAACGGCTTTAACCTTCTCAAATCTTAAACGGTTTGGGCGTAACTTAGCTCAAGAACTGATCCTGAACACAACTTTAGGATCATCAACAGAGGCTTTTCTTGCTTAGGTGTCCTGAAGGATAATTCAACTGGTAAGCAAAGAGGAAAGGGCCTTTTCGGTGCTGGCCTCAGACCTTTGCAACTGACTTCTATGAAGGGCTCGCCAGACGTCTTCACTGCAGTCTTCAGGAAGGATCTGGATGACCTCCTTGTTCCCCCTGGCTTTCGACTTTTGTATATTTATTTTTGGCCTCCTTGCAAATGTTTGCTTAAACAAAATGAAACAAAGTTTTCACAGCGATTCGAGGGTGTTTTTCTACCCTTCTAAGGGGCCTGAAAATCATTTTCAGTACAAGTGAGAAAAGAAGTTAATCAGAGTGACTGAGCAACCTTGGGAGTGGCACTGCTGTCCCGTGCAAGGAAGGACAGACAGACGGACAGTAAATGCTTCTCCTGAAAGCGTGCCCGCAGCTTCTCGTCTTTTCACTTGCACTAAAAGTTAATACCGCACGACCGGATAGCTAACTGAATAACCAGGGTCACCATTCCAGGGACAACGCCAGCGCTGGCCTACCTGGTGCCCTTCCGCTGTTTCAGACTATAACCCCTATCATCCCCAGCCACCACTGGCGTTCTTCGGCCTCTGCCCTGACCTACCAGGGCTCCTCTCAGGTCCAGCATGCCTTACTGGGCAGGCTCTCCGCCACCCTCCCTGCATCCCATAATCCAGCGGCCGTGTTGGAAAGGCGTCGGGGTCCGGGGCAGAGGGGCCGACCGATCCCGCAGCACTGACGTCAATGGGGCTTCTCCAGAGCAAGTGGCCTGCACGGCTGCAGCATCTCTACTGAGGTCTCTTATCTGATGGAGCGCCAGTTCCTTGAGTACATATTTATTTAGGTTGCCCTTGCCCGAAATAGCCACGTTTGCGGTTGTTTCAGGAGCCGCGGCTCTGCTTCGCCCGCCTTCCTACGGTATTCAGAATGGCAAAAACATGTCGGGTTAAAAATACCCCGCTATCAATTTCAAAGCGAGCTTTTCTCCTTGCTTTTTCATCATCCTCATTGTGGGCAACACGTCTTCCTCGAGGCCCCGTTCTCCTTCGCACCTCCGCAAAGACCGTGCGCATCGGCGGCGCGCTGTGCTCCAGAGCTCACCCGAAACATCCAACTGGAGCGCAAAGGATCGCGCCCTGCTCCGGCGGTCCCTGCGCGCCTCCATCGTGCCGCGCCCGGCAACGCCCTCGGGAGACTTTAGGATCGCAAAACTGAGCAAGAAAAAGAGGACTGCGGGATTACAATGCATGCAACTCGCATCTCAAAATCCTAGGTGTTGGGAGAGTGTTTGGAAAAGCAACTCTACGCCGCAGCACCGACACCTCTCATTCCAAATAGGATGCCATCCCGCTCCCCCCCCCCGCATTTAAGGGCCTTGGCACGACCCTCCCCGCCAAGGGAGCCACGCACAGCCCTGCCTAAAATTCTGGAGCGATCGGGGGGCTTGGCTGCAAGTTTAGGGGCAGCAGCGGGCTCGGGCCAGCGCTCCCCCCCCCAAAGGAGGGGGGGCCTGCTGGGGGTCGGGTGAGGGGTGTGGCCAGCCCGGGTGTCACGTGGCAGGCGCAGCCAGCCAATGGGGGGTCGCCATGCTGGGTTTTATAGATGCTCGCTGGGTTGTGCTCCACAGACATTTCCTGAGGCTCAGAGCTGGTTGTGTGCAGCGCTCCGCGCCCCCCCGCCCCGTTCTCGCATCTCTCCCTCTCTCCCTTCTGCAGGAATCTTTCCTCTACCTTCGCCTGCCCTGGAAAGAGACCCTTTTCATAACATGAGTTGAAGGCACCCATTCACAGCAGGGGCGGCGGGGGGGAGCGGAGCCCGCAGCCTCGCCGCCGACGGCCAGCCGCGAGCGAAAGAGCTCTTTGCAAGCAAGCGCGCTCCTTCCGAGTAGCGGCCCCGTCCGGGCGCTCTCCGGAGGTGCCTCCCAGAAATCCCAGGGAAAGCAGGGTGGGGAAGGCCGCAGATACTTCCTCAAAGGCCGGCTCCAGCCTGAGGCACCCTCGGAGCAGACCCGCTGGCCTCCCATTCATCTGGAGGGGTCTACTCCGCGGAGGGCGACCGCCCCGCGGCGGCGGCGTCTTGCAGCCGCTCCCCGGGTTTCTGCTGCAGGCGCGAAGGGGCCGGGAAGGAACGGCCAGGCGTCCCCTGCTTTCGCGGTGCTTTAGGCTGCGCTTCAAGCCTCCTCAAGCGGCGTAAGTGCCTTTGCAGAGGGTGGGACTCTCTCCGAAGTAATCGTGCTAGCAGGCTTGCAGCAGCGATGGGCTTCCTCGTGAGAAAGCCCCCCTGCAGTTAGCGGGACTTACACTCCAGAAGGAAACTCGTGGAAGGGTGTGGATCCCCCGCTGCAAACCCAGGCAGCCCTCGGCAGGCCGTGCCACCGAATTCGGCGTGCTTTACTCCCGAGTAATCCCGCGCCGACCTCCGAGTTCCAAAAGCCCGTGCTAGGCAAGCTTACGGGGATGGTGGGAGCTCCCGGGAGCTGCTAGGAGCCTACTCCTGAGTAAGCGCGCCTCGGAGCGGGCCGCACTCCGGCGCACGTGCCGCGAAAGCCCCCCGGGAGGGGCGGACTCGCCAGCAAAAGTCGCGTCTTGCGCGGCTGGCCGTTGCCGAGCCGCGCGCAACGCTCCCTGGAGTCGGCCGGGCGCGCCGCGGGGAGGGCCGACTCCTGAGCAAACCCGCACGCGATCGGGGCCCCCGGGGCGGGGGAAGGGGGGCGGGAGAGTCCGCGGCGGCCGACCCCGCTCCGCGGACGGAGCTGCCCCGCGCGGCCCCTGCCCGGGGCGCCGCGCCGGTCCCTCTCGCGGCGGGGAGCGAAGGGGCGTGGAGAGGCTGGCGCGGCCGCGCCGCGGGACGGGAACACTCGCCCTTTGAGCGGCTGGCGCCGGAGCCCGGGAGGCGTCCAGCTCCGCGAGGACGCGCGGGGCTGCAGGAGCCGCCGCGGCCGGGCCCAGCGCGCCGCGCCTCCCGCGCACTCCGCTGAGCGCCGGCGGGTCGGGCCCGCGCCGCGCCGACCCCTGCCTCGCCAGCGGCCCCCTCCGGCC